ACCTGTTTGTTCTCCTAACAGTCCCTGGTATATTGTATATTTAACACTCTTCTCCAGCACCACTGCTCAAAGGCATCAATTCTCTTTCTATCATCCCTAGTCACTGTCCAACTCTCAGATGCATAGCACATAATTGTGAAGTCTATAGATTGTCAGCCTTTATCAGGTTAATTGGATGGTCACTACAAAGGCCATCTACTAATATGACATTCGTAGGCTCATTAAAGTTGGATGCAAGCACACAAAGAAGAGCTTAATGCTTGTCTAAGTCTTTGGAAACTTCATGGATTCCACGTACTAGGCCATCATTAATGACAGCAATCTTTAGCACCTCTTGTAAAGTTATTTATTTTAACCTCCATTACACCTCCAGCAGCAATGCCATCATTGGCTGTGGCAGTGGGTTACAAGTGAAGTGGAATTTTGAACACACTCATGTCTCCACCTCTGCACAACTCTGCAGTGACTGGAATTTTTTAAGGACATATTTTAATTATGTTACAGTAATATATTTTCCTTTTGAAAATGAAAATGTTAGAGCTATATCTAAAGTTCCTTTAAGCCTAGCCCAAATTCTGGTCCACTTTCTGCCCTTCCTCAAAGTTACCTTTGTTATAAATTTATATATATTTTGTCAAAGATTTCACTGTGCTGTTACATATAAATACATGTAACCACAGAACTGTTATAGTGTTGATCAGCCTTTTCTTTTGCTTTATTCACCTAAGTAGTAATATATACATGTCATTCTTCAGTTTTTCATTTGCACTCTATAATATCCTAGAGATCTGTATATGTTCTATATATAATACTAGCTCAGTCATTAGGACAGCATTCTTTTCATGCAGAATTGTCCCATAAACTATAGGCCATTTAGCATTCCTGACCCTCCCTCACTAAATTCTAGCAGGAATCCTTATTTGTTATAACAATAAAAACCCTCTCCTGGTTATTGCTGAATGCCCCAAAGGATGGTACCATGCCTGAGACCTACCCTTTAAAAGTTGCATAATAAGGGAGCTCTGGGGGCCTAGTGGCAAGAAGCTGCACTGCAATCCTGGAGATGTGTGGTTTGAATCCACCAGATGTCTGTTGAAGAAGGAGGGACAATATCCTCCTGTACCAGTCAGATCTTCTTTGACGGTACACGCACAAAAATTAAAACAAAATAAATTTTTTTTAAAAGTTGCATAATATTTCTTACTATGTAAATTGGATTACATTGATGAAGAACATCCAAATCTTTTCCAATTGGATGAATGTTCTACAGTATTTCATAGATTATCTTGCTCAGAAAGACAATATTGCAGAGTAATTAAGAGCATAGTTTGTGAGACCAGATAATCTAAGTCCTGGCACTGCAGCTTACTTCCAAGTTATTAGGTAAGTTTCTTAATGTCTCTTGTGTTTCCACTGAAAATGGAAGCAAAAATAGTTGCTACTTCTTAAAATTGTTGTGAGGATTAAGTAAGTTTATATAATATGAAATTTATTTAGTCACTGGAGTAATGGGGGTAGGCATGTTGGAGACAATAAGATTGGCAAGGGATAGAGCAGGGTTTAGAGCTGTTGTACACAGAGTTGCTATGAGCCACAGGCAATTCGATGGCAGGTAACAACAATGTGAAATATTTTACGGGAGAAGGATAGGTAGTCTTCTCGCCTCTGAAAACCTGCCGGAGGGTCAACTATGGGTCGTTTCCAGCACAACAGTACATAACAATAACAACCATGTAAAATATTTAGAGGCTTCTCTAACATCTTCAACACTTCATAAATGTTTATTATTATTATTATTATTATTATTATTATTATTACAACTCCTGCTACACAAATTGAGTAGGTTTTAAGAATTGTTATGTCATTAATATAGTTATAATAGGGTGGCAGGTCTGGGGAAGGGGCAGCCGGTGCCATGTCTGGCCGCGAAGGTGGTAAGAAGAAGCGCCTTGAAATGGACGAGGAAGATAAGGCTTTCAAGCAGAAACAAAAAGAACAGAAGAAACTCGAGGAACTAAAAGCGAAGGCCGCAGGCAAAGGTCCCCTGGCCACGGGTGGAATTAAGAAATGTGGCAAAAAAATAAGACTGAGGCATTGATGAACCTTACTTCCATTCTATTTTAAAACATCTGTATTCTCTGCTGTAACATCTGTTATCACCTGTAGTTAAAATGAAGTGTTGTCTTGGAGCTTGTTGTACATTTAAGAAGAAACTTTGTGAAATAGTGAGGAAGAAACCCTATGATGGTCCGTCTCCAGTTCTCATTCAGCCATTCTGATCTTAGCTGTGCAAAGTAAATGCAATCCAGAATTCTGTACCACGTGGAATTAAACCAACTCATTTGAGGGGAAAAAAAAAATATATATATATATATAGTTATAATAACTACCAAATAGTAAAGAAACTTAAGTGCTTACTGCAAAGGAATAGAAAACACTGTTACAGCCACATATAGTAGAGTAAGCTCTGGTAGCCAAGTGTTAAGAAGTTGTGCTGCAATCCCAAAAGCATGTGGTTCAAATCCAGCGCTTCTCAGGAAAAGGATGTGCAGTCTCCTCCTGTGTGATTAACTGCCTCTGAAAACCTGCTGGAAGATCAGCCGTGGGTCAATTCTGACTTTATGGTACACAACAACACTAATATAGTATAGTATTCTGCAGCCATCCAGAAATAATGTTTTGGAGGAAGTTTTAATGACTTCAGAAAATAGCTAACATGTAATAAATAAAACCAAAGCCAAGTATAAATTTATATATGTAAGAAGGTCTTAATTAGGAAAAAAAAAGTATAGTATTAATTGAAAGCCAATTAGGAAGAATATGTAACAAGATTTAGTAGTGGTTGTGGGACGATAATGCTATTTATTTTCTTCTCTATAGTCTTTTCTAAAATTTCTTCAGTAACATGTTATTTTATATTTTGGAAAAAACACAACTTAGTTTCTTAGTAAAAGAAATTAACTATAATATCCTTTCTGTTTTATGCTCTACTTATTTTGCACCTAATGTATTTCCTACTAAGCAAATCAGATGATACAAGCTAGCAAAATCAGGGGATGAAGATTTTCCAATATATTACTTCTTGCCTTACACTTAAGATCTACCAAAATATAAATAATGACAAAAACATATGTCTTCATTTCTAATTGTTTCTTTTGCTAGCACCCCAGCAGTAAGTGACTACTCTAGAATTGCTTTGGGTCCTAAACGGGGTCTGACTGTTACTGAAAGGGAGTGTCTTACGTGCATCCTGTGCCAAGAAGAGCAATTGCTGAAAATTAAATATAATGCCATGGTATTATCGGCCTGTGTCCAGAAATCTACTGCCTTAACACAGCACAGGGGAAAACCAGTAGAACTTTCAGGGGGTATGTATTGTTTAATAAATTCCACTTTGAGCATTTTTTTTCGTAATTCTATTATCTGGAAAAGTACTATCTGAAAGATATTTGAGAGTGAGATGATACTTAGTTTTATTTGGTTATCACACATATATAAAGTGGACTTGCAGTTTTTACTTGTTGTAATAGCTGCTTTGTTTTATTTTAAAATTTTTTATCACTTGGCCACATTGTTCTATTTATCTTGTTTATTTTTGCCAAACTGTTTAAAAGTAGATTGAGGCATCATGACATTTCGTCCTTAAAGGACAGTCTATTCTAAATGTATCATATTATCACATTTAAGAAAATAAATTATTCAGGAATATCATCTAACACAAAATACATATTGAAATGTATATATTCAAATACCTATCCCCAAAATGTCTTATAAATTAGACTTCCTTCCACTACTCCCATTCAGAATCCAAACCAGTTTCATATATTGCTTTCGGTTGTTACATGTCTTCTAGTGGATTTTAACCTAGAATAATCCCTTGCTTTTTTGGTTTTGTCTTTGTTTGTTTTTGATAATACTAACTTTTTTTAAAGAATACCTGTCATTTGTCTTGTACAGTAGCTCACATGGTGGATTAATCTGATCATTGCCTCTAAATTAGATTCTTATTAAGCATTTATTTGGCAAAAATGCTAACTAGACAATGTTTTATACTTTACATGGCATATCAGGAGTTAGCTGCTTTATTTTTGAAATGTACTTGGAATAACAATAACAGTAATTAAAGCTAGTATTTATCAAATACTTAGCTGTCTATCAGACATTAAGTACTTAAATGCATTTACTCAGTTAATCCTCAGTTAGTCCTATGAGTTAGATACCAATATTGCTCTATTTTACAAATAATGGAACTTAGGGACAAAGAAATAATGTGCAAAAAAAAAGGTGCCACAAATTGGCAAAACCAGAATTTGAACCCCATAGTATGTTCTTCTATCACTAGTTTCTGCGCTTTAAAATTATTCTGTTAAATTACTTTTAAAGTTACAAGAGTAAATTGTAGTGAATTTTCAAAAATCATTTTATCAACCAAGTTAAAACACATTACTCAAGATAGAAATTTTAGTCAAAATTTAGTATTAACTAAAAAAGAGGGAGCTCTGGTGACTTAGAGGCAAGAAGCTGTGCAGCAATCCTGAAGGCACACAATTCAAGGCTGCCAGCTGCTCGAGAAAGATGGGCAGTCTCCTTCCATGCAATTAACTGCCTCTTAAAACCTGCCGGAAGGTCAGCTATGGGTCAGTTCCGACTCCATGGTACACAACAACAACAACAATACAAATTATAGAATCTTAACTGAGAATCTAACTTCTTGTTTTCCTCTTTTAACTTACTATTAAAATAAATACTGATATAATATTGTGATTATCTTCTTAGGACAATACTAAGAAAACTTAGGCAGATAATTTTTTTCTTTTTATGATTATGGGAGACATTAATAAATACTTCTAATTTTTCTTTTCCTGTACCAGAAACCATGGACCCACTTTTCATGGATCCAGACTTGGCATATGGAACATATACAGGAAGCTGTGGTCATGTAATGCATGCATCATGTTGGCAGAAGTGAGTTGCCCTTATACAGACAAACTCTTTAAAGAAACTGGAGCATTGAAGTAGACACAGTAATCTTTATAAAAATCTCACTCCTCTCAAATCATTCCTTTGTAATGTGTAGGACAAAAAAGTTTCCGTTTTCTTATAAGATAAAAATTCAGAAATGTAATTCTAAAAATATCTTTTATCTTTTGTATAGAGTTTTAAATCTTTTGACATTCTATTTTTTTAAAAAAATTTTCCTATAATAGGCTTCACTCCGCAATAAGGGATATACCTTTAACTTGCTGGTCTTTCTGATACTTCTCTAAATCTGAACATTCACATTAAGACAGACTAGGAAAAAGGATTGGCCAATCCACTTCTGAAATAGCAGGCCTCTGAAAACCCTATGTACAACAGAACACATTTAGATAACAGAAAAGGCAAAGGAGGTTCAGTTTTCAAGTATGGAAA